CCTATTACGAAGCTAAAATGCCCAACATGTACATCGATACAGCGACAGCGAACAGTCGGTCTTTGAGGCCTCAGATTATCATTGAGCCGACACCGTACAACGATCGCTCGACGCCGCTTCTAGAGGCTTTTATCAACCAGGAGACCGACAACGAGAGGCCTCCACCTAGCTACCTTGAAGCTACAACGCCTGGCCTCATCTCAAGTCGATTGAGTGGCGAAGAAGGCGCAAGGCTGCTCTCCTTTGATGGACGAGAAGCAAGAGATGCGAGGTTCAAAGAAGAGCAGTACAGAGGAAGAAGCCTAAGGCAGCAATGCCTCAAGAAGACATGGCTGAAGGTGGCTGGAACGATACTTGCGATGATGCTTGTGTCGGCGATGCTGGCCCTCATGGTCGCAGCAGTATCTGTTCGGAGGGACAAACAAGTTAGTTGAATGCTGCGGAGAAAAGAGATTTGTACTGATACCCGTACCAAGGCCACTGTGACTACCGCCCCATCGTCGGCACAGTCCGCACAAGGCGATGCCGCTCACCCAGAAGGATTCATCGATGATGACTCCGACAAGCCAAGCCTCATCGCCGTCCCATGGCCATCGCCGTCTGCCGCGGCGCAAGCAGCACCCAAGCAATCTTTCCCCATCCGATGGCCAGCAAAATGTGGAAAGCAATATAATGTTCGAACCGAACACCACGACTTCAGTAAGGCGAGCGAGCTCAATATCCAAGAAGCAGTGCATCAGCTAGACGGTCCATACAAACGGGTAGCCGGCTGGATACACGTCGCGCAAGCACCCCCAGAGCAGGCAGCTGGTACCATACAGGTAAAAATGTCCTACGCTGTATCATCATCAGTCGACGTCAACAGCGTCGCATACGCATCCAGCTCAACCGGCATAACCATCGGTGACCCCACCTTCCCTGACGGCTTCGACGGCGTACGCCCCGGCACCGCCTGTCTCGGCATGTCGGTAGTAATCTACATGGCCCCAGGCGCCTCACTATCAAACTTCAAAGTCGCAACCACACACATGGGTATGCAGATCCACCCCGGCGCAAACTTCACTGTCAAAGGCACAACATCCATCTCCACCACTACCGGTACCCTCGACGCTGTAGACTTTTCCTCTCGCCAAACATACTTACAAACCATCTCCGGATCCATAAGCGGGAAATACGCACTGTCTGACCTCCTTTCCGTGAAGACGAAAAGTGGATCCGTGAACATCGACATTGAGCCCCAAGCTGCAGCTTCAGGCTCCACGAACCCAGCTATCTTCATGGTAGATTCGCTATCTGGAAGCATTCGAACAGACTTCAAGCGCAAACACATCCCCGACCGCGACTACCAAACCTACATCAACACCACCGTCGGCTCCGTCGATGGCACATTTATCCACGGTTCCCGCACGGAATTCAACTCTGTAGCCGGTCTAGTCACAGCTGATATCCTGCCTTTCAAATCCGGAGATTATCAGTCTGAGATTTACACTTCTACGCACTCGGGACAGACAACTCTGACATTGCGCTCGCCGTACAAGGCGAAGAACGTAGCCATGTCTGGTCTAGTCAGCACGCATAAGAGTACGTCTGGGGGCTTGGATGTGACGTATCCGCCAGAATGGTCGGGGGTTGTTGATGGCACGAGTTTGAGTGGCGCGCTGCATTTGCAAGGCAAGGATTTGGAACTTTTAGGAGAGAATGATGAGCCAGGGAAGAACCATGTTGAAGCGAAGAAAGGAGAAGGAGATAGTAGCTTGAGTTTCGATACTGTGAGTGGGGAGTGTGAGATCAAGATTGGCAAACTCTAGGTGGGTTGGAGGATGTTGAAAATTGATGGACAGATATTTATCTTGGTTTGGGTGTTGTTGCTCAGGAGTCGATGGAAGACTGCGCCCAGATGAGGCTGTCGTAGATGTAATGCATATCACGATTTAACTACTTGATCATCCTGAATACCTACCACGAATTTGAGACAGCACATTGTACCCGCCCTTTTCACCCCTTCGGTTACCTCGGCTGCAGACAATAATCACGCTCCCACATTTTCGCCCGACGCACTCTATATGCCCAAGTCGCGTCGCAAAACTCGCCGCACAGTCTTCTCCTAGTTTCCGATCGCGTCTAGTAGTGAAGTAGGTTTATAGTAGAATTGAGTTTCCAAATTCCTTACTATAACTAGTGCCGTGGCTATTGTCCGCGCGTCCCGCTCCCGCCAGCGATGGCCTGTCAAAACCAGTGTCTTGGTGACATGGATTACCCTCGTCGTAAAATGTCGATCCCAGGATTTTGGGTGTTAGGGCTGTTAGGGCTGAAGATGAGCGGCTGGGTTCGGGGCAGTTGTTGGATGTCTTGAGTTAATGAATGACACGTCATGAGGCTGAAGTTTGTTCGCTGGCTCGACGCTGTGCTGTCGTTCGCGGTTGCCAAGTATAGTATGCCTGAGGGTCGAGCTGATGAGGGGTAGTTTCCTCTTCTTGCTGCTCAGGTGTTCTCACGTCCAGTGAAATGCGCCTCCATAGTAGGTCCACATGTCGAGATCTAGAGCCATGGCGAGAACAGTGTCTATCATGACGTACGAGGGGCTGTCGTGAGATCGTTTCGCAGACTTGGAACCTGTTACTTGCAAAATCTGCAGTGCACGGTTTGCGTCGTCTTCGATCATATGTGGTCGCAATATCGCGTCCGTAACCCTTGCTGTGGTAGGTGTAGGTTCCGCAAACGATCAATGTTGCAAGGTTGTTTGGTGATGGCGATATCGTATCTTGATTCTGTATGTCCACCCAAGTTTCATGGTGCTTGCGATTGGATGTGACGAATAGAACAGACTGGCAGCTGGAGGTCATCGGATCTTCGAAGATGGTAGTCACACCGAGTAGCTGTGGAATGGTTCAGTACCCACCAAATATGCACGCGTTAAAGGTAAACAAGGGGGTCGAGCAGCTACTTCGATTGGCGGAATAGCTATCAATTATTATGGTGAGTTCTTCCGAATCGAGTTCGTTCATATCATGCGCGATGCCCCTCCAAGCCACATCACTTACGTGCTTGCAGGTCCTTCCTTGTAGCGCATCGTCCGCTTCGGTAGACGCCACACGGAACCCGAGGCAGCACTGTGGAGTTCATGCTTCGAACGATGAGAAGATTGCAGGTAGCCTGGGTAGTCGGGTTCCGGTGGCAAACATATGTTGTTGACAAATATGTGGGGAATTGGTGGTGGTACAGGACTGAGGCATTCAAAGTAGCGAGTCCATGGGTCAGGGCAAGATTGCTACGAACCGCTCCGCGGCCTCGTGATGTCAAGGCAGATACTCTTTTTGAACGTCGCCAAGTCATGGGAATATTGAATTCTGAGAATAAAGAGTCCTAACATCTGAACTAGCAGGTGATTTGTCGATCGGCCGCTGTCAGTTGTCATCCTGACTCAATGGACAGTGCAGAAGCTTGTCATCGCTTGCACCGTGCTATGGAACTGCACTCGGCTGACGAGTTGCACATGTTTCTGTTCCGCAAAGATAACACCATGCCGAGCAGAACGGAATGAAGTGGCATCGCTTCGGTCATGGGCAGTTGACGATGCCACTATTCGGCGATAACACGGTGCATCTGGGCAGTAAATTGCTGAAAGCGTCGACGTCAAGTGGAAATGCGGCTACAACTCCGCTGCGCGACACAACCGAGCGTCCGTGTCGGCGAATCAATCCAGAAAAAACCGAGAAATGTGTTGATGGTGCGGTACACGTTGCGAGCAGAGTGGGTCTCAGGTTCCCCTGGACGTGTGTCAAGAGTGTTTCGGACATGTCGCGACGCGGTAAAGAGACGTGGGCCAGTTGGAAGCGAATGCTGACTCATCCCCACCCTCACCAAACTACGCGCCACACGCGATGATACACCCCCCACCCTCCCAATCAGCTGCTCCGTGCCATCAGACTCGCTCTCGATTGAGACAAAACTTTTCCAGCTATGATGAAACTGGATGGTTAAACCCTGGTAGTGGAGTTGATACAGCGGGAAGTTGCGTATCTCATGGCCAACCTCTCCCATCACTCCATCCTTCCATAAACGACATGCACCATCCCGTTCGAGCGCTGAAACTCGAGTCCGAGTTGGAACCAGTGTTGGGATGCCCTTTTCTCTGAACTCATCGACCAACAGCTCCCTGTCAGCATGTGGTCACCATGGCCGTGGCAGCGCAGTATCCATGTTAACAGCTCGGCCTCAATAACATGGGGCACTTGGTGCGCAGCCCTGAGGAGCCTCTCCGAGCCAGCCGAGAGGATCATGGAGACAACGACTGGTGCGACCGTTCAAAGTGCGTCTAATCGCCTTTTGGCATCCCAGCAGCCTTGCGCCCGGTCCACCACCCGCTACACCATCCCCGCCAGACTCTCTTTTGGGTGAACGCTTCTGCTGTGGCCGTTCCAGATCACCTGCAGCCAAGGCGCGTCGCGACACTTCTCTCAAACTTGCGCCCAAGCGGTTCCGTTGCGTCAATCACAGAGACCATTGCTCTTCGTTGTTCCTTCTCGGATGTTGCAACCCCCGTGTATACATCATATAGCCTAGCAACCCCTCCAACCGCCTTTCCTGCTATTTGGCCCGTCACTCTTTAGGATCCTGCCCAACTATCTTCATATACATTTCTTTCATTTGGAGCGGGCTCCATCCGCGCTGGCTGCGTTGAGAACTTTGTTCTCGTACACTCTTTTGAGAAGCTTACATACCATTCGGCGCCACATTTGCTCAGCCATAGTCGCACGCGCTATCGCTCGATACATTCATTTGACTGCAGCCTTCTACTTTCGTTACCAGTGTAAGTTTTTCCGATCTGTCATTGCTCCTTTGCGCTGCAGCATATCCTGGCTTGGCCGTCGCTAGTCCAGCACTATCATGTTCAGCAACTCGGAACAATATGGAACGCCTAAACAGTCACTTACCACATTGCAACGCAGACTACTTCCAGACCATCGTTAAGGTCGTTGTATATAAGGACGAAACTCAAGATGGAATTCAATGCGGTTCAACAGTAAGCATTCACGATGGTGTAGAGCCTACGCAGACTAATCGTCTTCATAGATACCGCCCGTCACCTAATCGACAGTACGCTATGGGATATTCCTCATCTGCTCCGGGAATGCAAACGATGTATGCATACGGAGACCTTCAACATAGTCAGCAACATCATCAACATCAACAACAACAAGGCATGCAACCTATGTCCAGACCGTCGCCACCACAGCCCACGTGGGCTGTGCCGCAGACCCATTCTTCGTACTATGCTGCGCCGCGCGGACCTACTGTAGGCGGGAGGGAAGACCAGCAGCAATTTATGGGAAGACCAGACATGATGACGTCGCAGCCGACTGCTACGACTGGTGGTATCTACAGCAGCTCTATGAATGCCCCGCAATCACTGGCAACAACGAACTACTTTCCCAACGTCATCGACACAAGTAAGTGTCTTCAGAAGCAAGCATGTATGCAGTGCTAATGAGTATAGGTCCATGGGGTCAGAAAGTATGTGAAGAGCTAGAGTCTTTCCCTGCTCTGGATTCGGACGTGGCCGACTTCAGCCATGGTATGATGGGACACGACGAGAACACTCCGATAATCGACCTACGCCAGTACAACAACATGGGCCAACACGAACACGAAAATATGGCACAGTTCAACCCAAATTCTACTCGACGAATGTCTGAGTCTTCCTTCTCGATGTCGAGTACAGGCGGTGTGCTGCCGGAATCGGCAGCTTACGAAGAGATGGGTTCGTCCGAACCAGTTTCATATGCGTCTGAGTATGATACATGGAACCAAGCGGAGCAAAGTGCCAGTCATCTTCTATCGCCTCTTGCGTCACCACGGCGCCCGCAGTATGACGGGGTTGTTCGCAGCGGGAGTCGATCCCGCACATCACCAGCATCGCATGGCAACATCCGCTCATCGCCGTACACACTTGACAGTAACAGATTCAAGAGGTGGTCTACTGGACAAGCGCCAACATCGACTCCGAACAACTCGCGCCCAATGTCACAAGTCTCGGATCGCTACGCGCCGTACGGCCCCCGGATGAACCCGCATCACTCCATGCCCGCCTACCCTCCCAGTGCCTACAACAATTTTGGATTGCCGACTCAAAATGTGCTGTACTCGCAAACTCCTCCATCGCATCCCAACAGTCAGCCGTTCTTCGCGCCTCAAGATCAACAGCAGTTCCATCTCGAAGTGCCCAGGCCTTTACCTTCTCAGGGCCTCTTCCGTCTGCTCCAAAGTAATGCCGATCGTCATGGAGGCTGTTCATCTCACTTTGCAGATCTCTCAGACCCGCCGGATCTGTACTCGTCTCTGCACGAGGAAGCGTTGAACCCACCAGAATCCGATATGAACCCTTCGGACCCAGACCTCATCCCACATGAGCAGGATCTTCGCTTTGTTGGCGATTTGTACACTCCACGATGGGTACGTGGCCATGGCAACAAACGAGAAGGCTGGTGCGGTCTATGCAAGCCCGGCAGATGGCTTGTCCTCAAGAATAGCGCTTTTTGGTACGACAAGTCTTTCACTCATGGTGTTAGCGCAGCCACCGGTGCGGCATTCCAGGGCCCCCAAGACACACGCCGGACGGAAGGCAATCTTGACGTATGGGAAGGGCTTTGTGGAAGCTGCGGTGAATGGATAGCGCTCGTCAGCAACAAGAAGAAAGGAACGACGTGGTTCCGGCATGCATACAAGGTAAGATGGTATTCCTTACGTCGCATTCTGTGGTGCTAACAACGACACAGTGTCACACACACCCCAAAGTCAAAGATGGGCCCAAACGCCGCCGTGAGACACAAGCTGGACGCGTCCGCGCGGCATCATCCGCTTCAGCTACGTCCTCGTCGTATCCGATCAAGCAAGACCTCCCGCAAGCAGACTCAGCATCTCACCGTCATTCCACGCCAACACCGATACCCGGCAGCTCGTCTCTCCAGTCTTACGGCATGTCAAGCGGGCCGTCTTCCATGCCAACCTCGACACCAACATCGACACCGCAAGTCAACGCCTCATGCAATCCTAGCAGTACAGCATACCCTACACCAACCTCTGCAACGCCCACGATGCATTCGCTCCGAACCCCTACAGCGACATCGTTTGGTGAGACATACGGCGAGCCTTCCAACAGACACGAACCTGTGGTTGGCATGTTTACAACGCCGTTACAAAGCTTGTCGAGCTTCTCCGGTCACCAGTATTCACCGAACCTCTCGCATCAAGTTAGCGAACCTGAGCTCGTTGGTATACGAACAACGACCACGGCACTCAACTCGATCGCGAGCATGATTTGAGTCTGTTAGACGACTCCTAGACATTCTTTCACAAGCAACCATTGTGGGCTAAGTTTTAGTGGGCGTTACCGGCGATGGGTCACTGCAACGGCGGAGTAGCATGAAAAGGTCACCGTACAAAAAGCGTTGTATGGGTTCTCGTTTTTGATCGTTTTTGCACTTTAATCTCGCGTCTTTCCCACCCCTTTCCAGCGTTCTTGTCTATAGCGTTCATTTCTACAGCGTCGTTTCCGTTGCGCGCGAGTTCTATCGATTGCATTGGGCATATCACGAAGGAACGACATCCAGCATTTTCAGTAGCATCGCTTTCCATCTTTCTCCCACTCACACACTAGCGATATCCCCCTTTACCACGTAGGTAGACCTTGGTAGTTATAGACTTGCTTCTGCAGATTTGCAAACAATTCAACAAAACATTGGAGAGTATCCATTCACGAAACTGTTGAACCTCTTCTACTTCACTGCGTGATACTCGAAACTGCTGAACACGCTCTTTTTGGAAACCGAAAAGAACCATTAGGCTCGAGCGGGAAGAGCAGCGGGAAAAGCAGCAGGAAAATCAAAAGACGGATACTAAATTGATCTGCAACGGGTAAAAGCAAAAAGATAGATCTACAATCCTCTCACACAACCGTCCCAGCACCGAGCCACACCGAGACACACGCACTGCCACTTCATCCCCAACCACCCATAACACCTCAACCACAGTCACGAAAAGTACAACGTATTCCCAACAACATATCCGCTCCATTCCGCCCATCACAACTGCCGGACGAAGAATACTCCAACTCCCGCACATACCGTGTTTCAGCATTCTTGCCGTCTAGTCTCAGGTTTTGCAGCAACCCGAAACTGAGGCTGTGACTTGTGAGGGTCGTCCATGGAACACGTAGGGCGTGAGGCTGTGTAACATGGATGAGGCTTTTCGGACTCATGGCCGTAGTTGGTCGTTGGATGGATAGGTGGGGTGGATCTGGTGGGAAGAGAACCGAAGTTGAAGCTGAGACTGTTCACCGCAAAGGTGGAGAAACATGTGATATTTTTGGTCATGGATCGATGTGACAACGTTTTTGACTTCAGTCGTCGGCTTACACTCCTTCTTGATGGTGTCATGGGGTCTGTTAGAGCACCTCCCCCCGACCCTCCCCATCCTAGTCTTCCCTTGAGCCCCGCATCTCGGCGTCCCTCATCACGAGTCACGCCGTTCCTTACATGATCCCGCAAACCTTCCCACCACAAAGTAAATTACTCATGCGCTCCGCTCCTCCCGGAAGTCTAACTGACGCGCTCACTTCGCATTCCTGGATCGCATACCCGTATTCTGAGGCCAGTGATCCACAAGGTCCAGGCGTTCCGAACGGGATCTACGACGTGGCGTAATCGGCATATGCACAACATAGCTTTGATCGGTGAGAGTGCTGTATGAAGGACTGCCAGACTTCTGTTCAAGGAAGGAAAGGGGGCAAGGGGGGTATGTGGGGAAGGAGAGATCATGCGGGAAGAGGGGACACGCTTTGGGAAGGCACTACAATTTGGGGAGGAGGTGGGTGCTGGGGTAGATGATATGCGATGCAATTTAAGTGAGAAGGCTGGGCGCGAGACTTTGGGTTGTAAGTGTTACGATGAACAACCGCATCCGGGTTTGCCATGGTGTTTGAAGTCGTGGTAAGCCGTGCTTACGACAACCTCAACTGACTCTGGGGTAAGTCCCATTATACTGTTTGCGCTCCAGTCTTTGAAAGGCTTCGAGGCTTCCAGTGTCTTGTCGTACAGCACACTTCGTTCAAGCAGAAACATTCCAGAATCGGGGAACCCCTTCTCAATCCTTTTCTGACCTTCAACAATACACTCTTCGACGTCGTAGTTTCCTACAGTGAACTCGTGACCCATCGCTTTCTCAGCAGATCTCAGAACCTCGTTGGCAGATGTTATCATACCAGCAGCGTATATATACTGGTTCTTGATCTCGTCCCAGTGTTGTATGGTGCGAACGACGATTTGTCCTACTCTTTCTAGACTAGAGGCTGAGAATGGTTCGGTGCCAGTACCGTGGATAGTCGCACTATGCCATTCCATGTCGAAACCCATGTTGCCGCTGATAAGCTGGGTGTCGAGCGTGTATCCTGTCGCGATTGCAGTCCACTCAAAGTCTGGATGGTCTTTGGGTATTTTTTGGAGATGGGCAATGACTTTCGCTCGTCCCGCATATTTTGGGATGCGCCCTCGTATGTGCTCGTTCATGCTGTCGTGACTGAACTCATCAGGAATGAAGCGTTTGACACCCGCCGCGACGGCGGCATCGATAATGCGAATCTGTTGATCTGAATCACCGCCTGACATAGTGCTTATGACAAGATCTTGTCCCGCCATGGCTGATTGTAGTGAAGTCGACGTGTAATCTGACTTCTGATGCTGAACGTCGGAAGGAGAGACATGAGGGGGGAGACTGAGAGTTTGTGAAGGATATGTGAGTACAGTGACTTGATATTCTGCAGTACCAGGCTTGCTGTATTGTGGGAAGATGGCGTTGATGATGGAAAGGCATAGTTCCCAATTCTACTCGTCTTGTCAGCGAAGTGGTGACGGTTGGTAGTCTCGTCGCTTCTCTTTACCCCTAGTATCATGACTTTTTCTATTGCCATCTTGTATGATATGAATTGTTATAGGCCGATTTGCGACGATTGCTTCATATGTCCAGCATGCTGCGTGCGTCCTTACATGTACTGCCCACCCCGCACTTGACGCGGTTGAAAGGAAGAGCCAACACTAGCTCATTTACCATGTTAGGGGTGATTGACAACGAAGCTATACAGCACTGAGATGCAGATGCAGACAAATGTCACAAATTACCTCTACACCAATGATCATATGTCGACCAATGTGCCAATCCGATGTCAGTCTTTGTGCAAATTCACAAGGGCTGATCTGGCGCACTATAGCCCGTTGCTGTAGACAGAAAGAGGCGTTTGCATAGCCGGGGCAGGCGAGCTTAGAGTATGATAAGAGGCGTAATAGTTCACAGTTGATGGAAGGTAGTCGTGGGGAAGATGCGGAGAGCTGGCGGGACAAGAGGGCGTAGCGCCAAGCCCTCTGCACGGACGCGGCAAGTGCCGGGATCGCAGCTGTGCGAGCTTTTGCGGACGACGATAGCAACACCACCAAATCCCCCGCGACCGCAACACCATCTCCGCTCATCTCCCCAGGCTTCGGATCCCTCGTCCAGTGCGTCAATTTCCCCTCCGAAAGCTCTCTCGCGGCCAATTGGACCTCCACAGCAGCGCGCTGACCCGCAAAACTACAGGTAGCCCAACATGAACGCCGCACGCTTCCTCCGCCCCTTCTCCAGGGCCGCCGCTGCCCGCGCGCCCATGGCTGCCCGCCCATCCGTTGCCGCCATGGCGCGTCCCGCTCTCCTCGCGAGCCAGAACAAGAAGACCGAGGTTGGCCCACAGCAGATGGTGAGATGGATTGGACATGGCAAAGACGGCCAGACAAGGAAGCTAACACAAGCGATAGACCGTCCTCAAGTCGGCCATGCCCCAGCTCATTCCCTTCTTCTTCGTCAACGAGACCACCGTGGCCTTCATCCTCCTGCCATCGCTCATCTACGTCTTCTCCAAGTACATCCTTCCCCAGCGTGTGCGCCTGTTCGCCGCCCGTCTCTTCATCAGCAAGTTGTAAGCGAGGGGACTGGAACAACAAGAAAGAGCGGATGACACTGTACAAGTAGTGGGAATATGCTCATAGACAATTGAATGGCATTGCACGAAGGAATGGTGGTTCTTTTGTGAAGCGCTGACTGCAGTAACACTTTCCTTGTTCTTAGGGACTATTCTACACTCTTGTAGCACACGGATTCGACGGACTGAACCATTGGACCAGGTACAGTACACGGGGTACTCTTACGGCAACAGTCATACATTGCTTGACGAAAGTGGGGCTTACCGAGACGGTTCATATGGACGATCAGATTTCCCTCCGTCACCAGTCTTCTCGGCTCTCCCTCCCCGAGATGTTTTTTCTCCGTACGTTCTACTTACAGAAAAATGATTGCGATTAGTTGTGGGGTTCCCTCCAGGAGTGATGCACAGCCACAAAAACATGACAGTCGACATATCCGATGACCAATCTATACGCGGCCTTGCAGAAGCAGCTTCCCTTACTTTTACTATATTTATAACACGTGGGGTAGGCAGCTAAGCTTCTCACATGCGAAGATACCTACGTGTACGCTATCTCCAAGTCTACCCTATGTGTCTATACGATCTTTTGAGTTGGTGTTCGGTTTGTGTTCAACTGTAGCGAGATGAGGCTAACCATGCATTCGAGTCCACAGAACACCCATCTCCAGGTATGGCGGCCCTTTTTCTTACTCTCATCTCAAATCCCCCTCTTGGCTTTAGCATTTTTACTTCTTCCTTACACTAGCCAACAAACACTGTCGATCGACATGATGCGCAGTAATTGAGGCTCTGGAAGAGCGAATCAAGAGATTGCCTCGGATCACCTGCTACCAATCTCTTGGTCAGTCCGACATAAGACCGCACAGCCGACTGATCTGGCATACGCATGCACGTTTCTGTCATCCCCCCATGTTGTTTCTCTCGATCCTGCAACACTTTCAGCGAATAAGGATCTAACTCAACGAGGTGTACTGTACGATGTGCAACCATATATGCAAATGTTATGCAGTAGAGTGCAGATGCAGGAACCCTTGACATGGCAGGTTTCCAAGAGCGGGAAAGACCTGACCGCGCGGCGTATACGTCGGCATAACAAGACATCGTGGGATCCGAGGTAGGTATAAAGTCATCATGGCTCAGCTGTAGCAGGTATCCAGTTATTCCAATTCCAGTACTTCTGGCAATCCTTCTACTATGAGGTGCATCATTCTCGCCACTGTCCTCGGCCTTGCGTCGCTCGCCGTATCTGCTCCTGCAGCACTTGTTTCGCGCCAGGCGTCTCTCGAGCAGGTCACAGACAGCTATATGTTCGACATTTCCATCGACGAGTTCATCACAAACCGCAATGCAAAGAACCCTCCTGAGTTAGATTGGTCCAGCAATGGGTGTACTGCGAGTCCAGATAATCCGTTTGGATTTGACTGTATGTTCTCATATCTCCTACCTCTATCCTCATCATTATTCCATCCCCTCTTTTCCGTATTTCATCTAACGAACGCTCCATCTCTTCTTCTCATACTAATACACATGCTTACAGTCATAAACTCCTGCTACCGCCACGACTTTGGCTACCGTAACTTCAAGGCGCAAAACCGCTTCGAAGCAAACAAGGCGCGAATCGACGATAATTTCAAAACGGACATGTTCAATCAGTGTGCGAATGAGTCAGCCAAGGGTCCGTGTGAGGCTACTGCTACGCTGTACTATGAGGCTGTTAAGGCGTTTGGGAGGAGGGATTTAGAGACGGCGGAGGCAGAATGATTGCTACGAGTCTGAACGTTTCGAGATGAGCTATCAATGAACAACATATCAGATACCAGAGCTGAAGTACGTACGCATGATGCCATTGTGTATTTCTTGGTATCTTCACGTAAACTAAAGGACTCTAAAAGTGTTTGGTTCTCAGTTTGTTGGTAGACGTGTCTTATCGATAAGACGCAGCATCCTCGGCCATTTCCCATCTGGGCGTCGATCTCCAAGCCCTCGTCATCCCATCAATTGATCAGGGTCCAAGTCCCTATTCAAAACCGCTATTAACCTAGGCCATATCCCGTCTTACACCTCCAGAAACCTCGCCATGTCTCACCCTGAACATTCTAGTCATTCCATCCAAATCCGACACCCTCGACCGAGGTCATCCGAAGTCGCAGACCCTGTGATGCGTCCGCGTGGGCTGATTCTTGGCGCCCGACAATATGGCCGATGAGTACGAGCTCGCTGCAGCTCCTGGTTCCTCAGCTTCAGTAAACACAACAATGCCGCCGGAGGAAGCTGAGGAATTACATGGCGTGGATGCGCGATTGCATAAGAGCACGCTGAGAAAGTTGGACTGCTTGTTACTTCCGTTTCTGGCGCTGCTGTTCTTGTTTAATGCGCTCGATAAGTCGAATGTAGGTACCCGCGACTCAAAAAGAAAAGTTTATGCTAATCCGGTTCAGATTGGAAATGCAGAATCTGCGCACTTTACGGCGGATGTCGGACTAGATAAGGGTGCGCTGAACACCGCTGTCGCGCTCTTCTTCGCCTTCTTCGTTGCATTACAACCCGTCGGCGCGGCGCTGGGAAGAAGATATGGCATGGTGCTCTGGGTACCTAGTTGCATGATTCTTTGGGGAGTATGCACAGCGTTGCATGCGTGGGTACGGCATAGATGGCAGCTTTATACGTTGCGCATACTCATCGGGTGTCTTGAAGGTATGGATAGCATCCTCGGAACATTATAAGTACAGCGCTGACATGATGGCTAGCGGGATTCTACCCAGTCACTGTCACATATCTCTCCCTCTTCTACACACGCTTCGAGTTCGGCAGACGGCTCTCATTCTTCTACGGTCAGGCAGCCGTCGGCGGTGCTCTCGGTGGCCTTATAAGCTACCTTGTCTTCTCCCACTTCGGAAATGATGAGGAAGGCTCGGACAAAGATTGGCGACCGTGGCAGGTGCTGTTTCTACTTGAGGGCACACTCACTATCGTTGTGGCATTCATCGGATACTTCTGGCTACCACACAGCGTAGAGACGGCATGGTTTCTAACACCTGAGGAACGTCAGTATGCATCGGCGCGTGTTGTGAGAGATCGAGACATACAGAATGCGCCTGCGGCCGTTCAAGAAGACGAGCACGAAACGGAAGATACCTACGACGAGGAGTCCCGAGGCCTTCTTGACTCGTCCAAGCATTCGGCCTCCACAATCACACCAACACGACAACTGGTGGACGACCGTGGACTCAGTCCCCACGATATATTATCCGCAGTCTTCAACACCAAGATTTGGCACATTCTAGCCTGTAATGTCCTGTCCGCCGTCCCGGTCTATGCCTTCTCCGTCTTCCTCCCGCTCGTACTAGCACCTCTGACCGAGGACGCGAACCCTGCGCTCATCAACTTGCTCACTGCACCGCCACATATTTGTGGAGCCATCGTACTATACTTCGCCGCCAGCTATAGCGACAAGCATCGCATACGCCTCAAGCCGATCATGTTAGGTCTGCTCATCATGGTAGCGGGTTTGATTCTCGTGGTTTTGCTCCCAAGCTCATGGGCAGTACCCCGTTACATCGCCCTCAACATTCTCCTCTCTGGCACCTACATTGCTTCCCCGCTTACTGTAGCCTGGATATCTGGTAACACACCATCGCCCGGCAAGCGTGCATTGCTCCTCGGTATCAATGGCTGGGGCAATCTTGCTGGAGTCATCTCAGCTATCTTGTTTCGACCAAAATATGCAGCGGGTGGCTATATTGTGCCTTTTTGGTGGACACTTGCGTCTGTTGCATTAGCGGCGTTTGGATATGTGCTTTTCTACAGACGCTTAAAGCACGAGAACGAGACAAGGCAGGGAATTCTGCGCAAGTGGAGTGAAGATGACGTTGAGGCAGAGAGAGTGCATGGTAGAGGACCGCTACCGCAGCAACAGCAGTGGCTGAGGAGAGCTATCGACGTGACGCGGTCACATGCGAAGCTTGCCTCGATTGGTGATTGGCTTGAGCAGGCTGTACGAGGCAGAGAAGGTGACGATAGACTTACGTTTGTTTATGGACTTTGAGGCGAAGCAGCCTTACACCCCACATCCTGACTTTAGAGCAGTCTGAAGCGCTATTGAAGCGATTCAAGGCACTAATGTCACCGGTTCTCAGCCGCAGCTGAGGAGCAATTGACTTATAGCACGGCAAAAAAGAAAAGAAGTTACTCGCTCTTTTCGTCTATGACTTGACTCTACTTCATCTCGAACGGCAAATGACATGGCAAACACGACCATACCTAACGGCTCACAATATCATCTCTGGAAGCCCGAGCCTTTGGCTCGTGGCACGTTCTCGATACTGTCTTCGTCACTGCTCACTATGGTCTTATGCATTTGGACAGCTGTTCATCTGAACATTCCCGAGCACAACAGACCTATCTCACAAATGTGGCGAAAGTTACGCTGGATGGTCGTAGGACTTTTTGCTCCAGAATGGGTAACTCACATCATTTATGTCACATTGAACGAATGCTGACTGAATTCAGGTCGTTTGGACTGCTTATTGTCAGCATATTGACGCAACAAAGATTGGGAAGACAATGCGAAAGGCTTTCAGTCAGCCAGAGCCCCCAAATTTTGTGAACAATTTGCCAACACTCCTAAGAGGCATCTTGCCATCTGTCCCCAACGCGTGGGGCAAGATTGGACTTACGACAGGGTCTCTCGAACAAACTGAGCAAGTGTCACAACATACGGACGTCGAACCCGGTCCGAAGATGAGAAGATACCCGTGGACACACGCACATTCCCTCTACGCCATGATGGGTGGATTTGTCGTTGATACTCATGATCTAGGCTACGACTATCTACCCCAGGAACGGCAAAGGATGACGTTAACACTAAGGGGCCTCACATTCATTGCTGATTATAATCCTGACATCCTCCCGGATCTTTCCGTTTCTGCAATAAAAGACAAGAGCAAAGCAAGCATGTTCACGAAGATGATAACTATCGCCCAGGCGCTGTGGTTTGGCATTCAGTGCGTAACTCGATCGACACTGGGTCTTTCGATCTCACTCTTGGAGATTAATACTGCCATCCATGCTGCCTGTGCCCTGACTCTGTACCTTTTCTTTTGGTGGAACAAGCCACTTGATGTTCAGGAGCCAACCGTTTGTACACACGCAGATCTACATCCCATCGCCGCCTTCGACACTGTCCAAAGACTGTACCCGCGCGTCCGCTTTTCACCAGTCGATTTGGACAATACTGAAGACAACGATATTGTGGACTCTTCGACTGACCCTGGAACAGCCGTCTTTCATCCTAAAGTTCAGCATATCTCGCTAAAGCCATCGAAGGATCCGAAATTTCGATCGAAAGGTTCTCTTGTATATCACGGCTTTGTTTTCCGCAAGAACATGAAGCTCTCAGCTAATGGAGAGAGGTACGAACAGTTGACCGAGTTAGACTTTTACCGCTTCAAGCTAGCCTCACAGGCTGCTAGGAGGTACTCATTACGTACGGGTGAAAAGTGTTCCTTCTTCGATGTACGTTCGAGGAATCGTTCCGAAACTATGTATGCGCTCGTAGGAGCTGACGAGCCGAAACCCGGGCTCAATTTTCTCGTGGTAGGATTCCTTCTAGCAGGCCTTTTTTACGGCGGTGTGCATCTCATTGTCTGGAATCGACCTTTTCGTGGTAGAACCGACGAACTGCTTTGGAAGTCGAGCAGCATTACAATTCTGGTTTCGGGCATAGTTGCCATGATATTGGAATTGGCGCAAAACTTCGCGGCCATTAACCGACAAATAGATCGTACAGTGTGGAGATTTGCGGCAAAGGCTTCCGGTCATGCCTCCACGGTGGGCTATTGTCTTTTCGCACCTCTCTACATCTTCGCGAGAGTTTTCATCATTGTGGAATGTTTCCTGGACGTATTTCATCTTCCCGACTCGGCTTTCGGAACCCCTCGATGGTCGCAATATTTCCCGCATATCGGATGATGGGATTCACTGGCTTTAAATAGGAGTGTGTGTACATGACTACCACCCCAATGCATGTCATACCTGTCGTTTTGTTGTTGCGTCTGTCTCGAGGGTACATTATAACTTTAACCCCGGTTCTCCTTAGTCATGTATCGAATCAAGATCGAGGGCCAGATCGAACCGCTTTTTCGCGACTGTGCTCCGTGCAGCATCTAGATCTTTTCTTCGCGATCCATGTTCCCCAGTTCTTCGCCACGGAGTAGCCGATACTCCAACCCCTTGTAGCGATATCAGGGGCTCTTCGACTGCGCTAGCGTGCGGCTACACCCGTGGCGCAAGCTTAGCACCAGAACCACGACTCAATTCGGCATAACACTACTAGCGAAGCGTCGCTGTCACGTAAATTCACTGCATGTGGCGCTGCACGAGTTGTGGACAATGTCAGTGATATTGGTGGCTTGCTATGGATCATGCCATCTTAGTTATAGCAGGTTAATGATGAGCTGGGCAGATATTTATGGCTGTGTATATAATGAAGTCGAGAAAACCTAGTAGATCGTGTAGGCAAGGTCTGGCTTTATTGCTTCATACACTCTTTTGAACTGTCTTCCAGCGATCGAATCCACTACGTTCATTCATTCACTCATTAAGCCTTCATCATGCGAATCAGCACACTCTTTACAGGCACAGCTCTCCTTTTGGGCTCTGAAGTTTTCGCAGCCACGATCTCTCAGAACGCGCGGTGTGGTAAAGGGTTTGGAGGACTTGTTTGTCCTGAAAAATCTACCAGTGTTGGACCATGCTGCTCACAGTACGGGTGGTGGTACGTTTCACTCTGCACTTTCCTATTCTTCTGGTAGACCTCGCTAAGACTCCGTAGTGGAAGAACGGAGGAGCACTGCTACATCTCTAAGGGATGCCAGTCAGGCTTCGGCTCTTGCTCAACGTCCTCTTCCCCATCGAAACAACCCCCTACATCGTCTTCCTCGCCCACGCCTTCGAAACTGAAGACCTCGACCAACGGCAAATGTGGCGTCGGTTCAAGCCAGACCTGTTTGGGTAGTGTGTTTGGCAACTGCTGCTCCCAGTATGGGTATTGTGGTAATAGCAATGCGTACTGCGGATCGGGTTGCCAGACTAAGTTTGGCTCCTGCAAGGCTACACCGGCCGGGCCTTCGAGTATCTTGGTACTTCCATCTACAACAACCACCCAACCGATAATCAGCGCCTCTGCCACTTCGCAGCGAGTCTCCACTAATGCCAGATGTGGAGCTACTTTCGGCGGACAGACCTGCAAAGGAAGTAAGTGGGGTAATTGCTGCAGTCAGTACTCGTACTGTGGAAGTACAGACGCATATTGTGCACCTGAGACCTGCCAGAAAGGGTTCGGCGATTGCAAAGCTGTATCTTCCTCAAGTACCGCGCCTTCTTCCACCCAACACAGTGCGTCGTTGGTCACTGTCACTTCTGTGCTTCCGTCATCATCTTCGTCCTTGACGGATATATCATCCACATCGTACAGCTCGGCAGAGATGTCAAGCAGTATCACGTCAATCTCATCAGATCCAGCTGTTACCCCAGAGGCTGTGAGCTCATCATCATCTTCTTCGCCTGTTGTCCCTTCAGACACATCCTCCGCATCCAGCGAGATGACGACCAGTGCGTCTGTGTCCGCAACAGAGCCCGTTTCCTCTCCGACCTCTCCAACTCCAACTCCAACTCCAACTCCAACTCCAACAGAAACTTCGACTGAAGCTTCCCCCACAACCAGCGATACCCCCTCGACGACAACAACACTCGACCTGTCATCGTCAACGTCCTCCACCCCAAGTCCAAGTCCACCAAAACCCACGCAGCTCGTTGTAAACCCTGGCTTCGAAGACGCTACAACTGACCCCTGGGTTCTGTTCCCTTTTGGTGAATACTCCACCGTGGCCCCGTCCGATCCGCAGTACGGTAGCAAGAGCGTCCGCGTGACCCGACGAGCCGGCCTCTTCGCCAGCGCGCGTCAAATACCTCAAGTCAGCGAAGCAGGCACCTACACGGCATCCTTCAGCGTCAAAGTCGATGGTACAGTTGGAGCTCCATGTTACATCTCTTTGACGGGCCTTATCGAGAAGGAGTATGGACAAGTCGAGGTGCAGGAGTGGACGAAGTTTAGTGGTACGGCTGCGCTGGCAGCGGATAGTAGGAACTATGTGAGGATTGTAGTGAGCTGTTTGCAGACTGCGCAGACGGGGTATGTGTGGTTTGATGATATTACTCTGACCAGGGTTGGTTGATTGAAAGTAAGTTCTCGGTGTGGTAAAGAAGGCTTCTTTTGTATGGAGGGAACATGATTTCATTTTACAAACAGTGCCAATGGAATAAAAAAGCAGATGACACACAAAGAAACCATCAGCTTCGTATAAATTTCTTGTGCAGGCAGATACTTCTTTGCTAGCATACATAATTTCCGTACCTTGGCCGCGGCAACACTTGAGTGACGTATTCAGCCCTACATCTTCTCGCAACAGTAACTAATATACAAGTACTGAAGTGCTCCAGCGGAACAATCAATATTTTGCTTTTTGCAATTCCCCCAAGTTGCTAGATTGTACGCAACAGACGTGACGGTCATATCATCGTCTTCGCAGAAAACCTTGGCACCATGAAGGAAAGTTCTAGGCTGACAATATCCGTCCTTCTGGAACATGTTCTCGATATCGGCTTGGTCGCAGTTGCCTTCTCCAAAGACGACACCCTGCGTTGCGGAGCACTGAGTCTGCATGTTGCTAGAGATAGAAGTCAGCTCGTAGTCTCGTCCAGGCACCCTGGCGATTGAATGTATAGGTAAGGACGAACTTGACGATCAAACAGGTCTGTACGGTGCCAACACCAATCTGGCCATCGGGACAGCCTTTGCCCATGACTGAGCGAGCAAAGAGCATAAGGGCCCCAGCAGCGGCGAGCTTCATGCTGTTTGCGTTGAGTCTAGTTGTCGGCTATCTCCCAAAGTACGATGTGCTCGTACAGGATTGAAAGTCTCGAAAGCAAATTCAGGTGTATGAATAGTATGAAGATGAAGGTTCTTGAGGAGCGAGAAGGTAGTTTGCAAGACCTACCGCGTCAACTGTCGCCTGATATATAATCCTCTGGAATTCTATATGGCCGTATGGCTTCACAGCAGTGATCTTGTTGGGCCAGTCGGTGACCGACCGCTAAATCTCACTGAAGGATCATTGAGACCATAGTCCCATGACCAGAAGGACCAGAAGGACCATAACCGGACCATCTGAGACCGGACCAACAACATCGCTTGTTTGCAGCAGGCATCGGCCGATAGCATCGCCCGGTCGCTTCGTACTCGTGTTTTTCCATGTCTATAACTGTTATACAGTACATGCAGATCATGCTTCCAGCCTACCTAGGTAAGCTTGCTGCTGCATGCTCTTCGTCAGGCACATTGCATTCTCACAACTATCACCTCTCAAGTGGCCTCGGACACCGACCCCAACTCCATACCTCTGGATTCTCGGGTGCTGTAGTCATGTGTTCGTCCTGGATACCTCTTTTTCATTATGAGGCGAACGAGGCGGTGCGGAAGAGACATGCTATGGTGTCGACAGAGGCATCATCCAGCCGGATAATCCAGTCTTCAGGCGATCTTCGCCCATCGCTCGAAACGTATATTGCTCGACGAGCGGTGCCTATGTGCCATTCAAACACGAGCTGACGACAGAAGGTACAGACAAGCTACTCCACCAACATGCTTAGCCGTCTAGCGAGATGCTTGACCCATACGCCCTGTCAGACCAGCTTACCCTAAGATATATGACCGGATAAATGAGCCCTCACTCGGATTAATAGCCAACCACCTCTGTCGCATCACAGCACCCCTGCCTAGCGCCTCACCTTATCAAAGTCCTCGGCTGCTCCCGCTTCTAGTTTCCTGGAGTTTGGCAGATTGAAAGTATGTTTTTGGTGCGGCAAAGGAGGCTTTTGGTGCAGATATATTCTGATAGTCGTGCCTCATCACATCCCCCATGTTACATTTGACCCATCAATCATATCAATATCCTATCTTGTCTCATCCATGCCTTACCACCGGCCACCAAACTTTACAAGCTCCCTCCTTCCCACGACCGCTGACGCAACGGTACACACTGCTCCCACAGCCACCAGCATTGCCCTCGCCATGTTCAGACTCGCCCACTTGTCCATCAACTCGTGTACTGTCTCGCCCTCGGCGGCAAATGCTTCGACGTTCTTGTTGCTCAACGATGCGGTCGCGAGTTCGTCCTTCTTGCCTAGAAGCTTGTCGTTGGTGGGTGCCATGGCGAGGAGCGTGAAGGGGACGATGCTGGGGAGGAGGATGGTCGCGAGAGCGTTCAGGCGAAAAGGTGTGGATTTGGGATCTTCTGTTGGGGATGTTAGCACGTGAGATGGTCGGGGAGTGGGTAGACGGGTGGGGTGTAGTGTTGAAGTATTGACGCGCATTGGAGGGACATGGGGTGTGACGTACGGTTATAGGCCAAGTACCCGGTTGCTAGAGCTGAGACAATGGCTAATGGCCTCGCGATTGCGCCGCCTCGTGTGAAGATTGTGTGCCATTGCTTTACTGCGAGGGGAGCGGGGGCTTGCATTGCGGCGGGGATGCCGACTACCGAAAGGCATACATTGGATCCTAGCATGCTTGTCAGTCATGCCATGCTGTATAATGTATATGAAGGCTTTTCAAGTTTGGGTATGCGCCTTCATCCCTGGCGTAACTTACCTAGTAAGAACACGCTCCCCGTTATGCCTACAGCCTGCGCGATTGCCAGCGCAGTAGGCGTCTTCTGCGTGAGTAGATTGTCCATTGTGTGCGAGTACGCGAGCAATTGGTGCTGGGTTTGCGGTTTCTAGAGGCGTCAGATGGTTCGTACTTTGAGACGGGATGCCTGACTGTTGGTGGTCAACTGGTAGTGGGCCTGGACGCTCCACGTGGGACACGCGCTACGTCAAGCTTCCCCGCGGAACCCGGTCACGGCGAATGAAACTCCGATCTCCGACACATGCCATAGGTCAGTCGCATCATTCATCTTCATACAATCCATTCTAGAAAAACTCGTCTATTCCTTTTCACGCCTCTTGACAGCATTTATTGTGAATAGCTCATGTTTGACCTTTTCTAGTTCTACAACGCCTTCCACAACATCCTCCTGATCTTGATAATGTGCCATCAAGCCCCAATGAGTCGGTCTTCACCCGAAAGATAATGCATCTTCCCAATCGGTACCCCAAGATTCCGCAAGATGCCATAAGCCGTCACATTGTGAAAGAAGCTGTCAAAACGAGAGCTATATCAGTATACCGGCTAGACGTGGAGAAATCCATGAGAGCACTTACAAATTTGGGAGAACAAACTCCTGCAAATACGTCAAGCCGTTCAGATCGAAATGCCACATGTTGGGTACGTCGATAACCACGGGCATATCCTCCTTTCCCTCGAATGCCTCCGGGCGTGCCTTCTCGAAACATTCCAAGGCCTGATCGATTTGCGTGTACAAATCCTGGAAAGAGGCTGCGTCGAACTTGAACGTGGGTACTTCCATGCCGGCAAGGCGCTGGAGTGCCCTTGTAGCGGTGGTAACCTGGAAAAAGATTTGAAGCGCGAGAGGCTGTAGTTGAAGCATCATTAACTTTATGTTCTGTTCTCTAGGTGACAAGTCGACGCGATACGTACATGCATATCTGGAGCGAGTCTAGCCCCCAAGGCTTTCGAGTGCGGATACCCGTTTTTGTCGCACCATGCCTCAGCCTTCCTCAAAACCTCCAGATGGTTTTGCATCGCTTTTCGAAGTGCGGGTACGCATAGTTCGTAGGTAGGTACCGTCGATTTCATTTTTACTTGCTCTCTAAATTGTATGGTATGTGTTGCTCACGTGGGACTCGGCGGCTTAAGTGCATCCCTGGTCAGATGGGATGGTGGTCAACTTGTGATATAGCCCGCATCTCCCCGATGCTAAGCCCCGAGAATGGTCTCCGCATGGGTTATGCATCACCGCTATAATTTGATCAACAGTGCTTCATTTTTGATCGAGTACCTTAGCTACCACGGCCTTGACGCTGGACGCGCCCTCGCGAATCCCCCGTGTCTACAAACATCCATATGCGGAAGCCTCCCATACTTTCGAAAGTATCCCCTGAACTTTCGCACTGATCTCGTTCTGCATTGTGGCACAATTGTTCCGCCTCTGCTCCGCCTGCACGATCTGCAGCTTCTTTTGAAGGTGATCCAGCCCTTGCTTCACGACAATGCGACCCACAACTCTACACTCCTCGCTGTCCAACACGTATCGGCTTAATTGGAAGGTGCTGTCGCCAAGCTCAGCGCGGCTTTCATTGCTATCTTTGTCAATAGGAACGCCCGATGGCGCAAACTTTGCCTGCCCTGCAACGTAAAGGGTACAAAGGATTTCCAGTTCGCGAAGAAGAGTCGTAGTGCGCGTTGGATCTGAAGAACATGTGCTGCACTCCATCATGGCACTATGTAGGTTTGATAGCTTCTGATCAAGTTGCAGCACCTTCTCTAGTGTACTGTAGGCTGCGACAGGGCCCCGTACTTCAATGCTGATGTCGTTCTCGTGTCCTCGACACATGCATTGCCTTGTCTGGTCGCTTGACAGAGGTCCCTGTATATGTAGTTAGCAAATATGACAGGCAAGGTCTTTTGCTTGGCCCGGATGCTATACCCTAATGGTCATCTCTGACTCCAGAATAGATCAAAGCGATGCTACTGCGAATTATTTGGGAATAAAGAGAGAGATTGAACGCATAGTATTTGTAAGGTCATCAGCCGGAAGTGATGCTTTGTACTGGTGCCGCGGAGCTGAATGTGAAGCAAAAAGGCGGAAATCATTGCTTACAGTGAGCAGACAAACCTTATCTCGTGATGCTCTCAACATCGCTGTCATAATTTAAGCCATGATCTATTTCAGACTCGTGTGTAAACGCGGTACCAGAAACCTTGGCTAGTACATGAAACGCGATCTTCGCGCCTGCACGTAAGTACAACCAGCATGCAGTTGCCTCAAAAACCTGGAAGTTGATCAGCGACTCGTTGATGCCCGATGTTCTTCAGTGTGTGAGTCGTAGTTGATGTTTCGGGGTATCATTATGATGCGTGTGCAAGGAGATTGACTAGGTTCTGTCCATGGTGATCTCGGAGACACATCCGAGGACACGGACCTCGGTGCTTGTGCACTCAACGCGCCGTAATCAGATCTGTATCGAGTCCACCATTTCCCCGCTTCCCCAAAACTCACGACTCTGACCTGCCTGAGATACCATAATCGCCAAGCTCAGGTCAGCTACCTAGGTACAGTTGTAATCGGGACGAAACATTTCCTATGCTTTTAGGCATGTGCATTACGAGTACTGACGCAGACACCGGTGTTTCGGCCGCGGTACCCGTTACCAAGAACACACGATAGCAAGACCCATGTTCGACTTCGTAATTAAGATGGCAATGAAGCTGCAATCAGAGCGTTGATTGTACAACACTCGCGGCAAGATATGGCGTGCTAAATCTGGACCTTCCATCGCAAGGGACTGCCAGCCCTGAACGTTGCTAGGTAAGCTCGGTCCCCGAGGCCGACTTCTGACTAAAGCTTCACGAAACGCTGCCGTCCGCGACGGTTGGGGTTATTGGTTATAACGAGGAAGTTAGCTACCAGAGAGTGACGTCTCCTACGAGATCGAACGAGACGTTTCGTAGGGAAAACTTTGGCGCAACCCAGATTGCCCAATGCCATTTGTAAGGCATGTCGGCACCAAGCCGGTATATTCTTACCCAACGTACTTACAGAATGGTTCGCGGAATCATCAATGCGACGGCAGATCCGGAAGTGTTTGTGTCATGAAGATCTCCTACTCGGAGACGGAAGACGTAGCATGGACGTCCATTCGAGGGATGCGGAGTGAAACCTCAGCTTATGTCTCGGCACTATCCATTGTCATCGAGGCGCTTTATTGCCTACGTATGAGCGAGGTCGTCAGCGATAGCTGCTTCGACCGAGTGCTTTCGACCGAAAATGCATTCATAGAGTACGAAAAGCAGTCATATATATATAAGCCTGACTTCCATACAGCGGCGTGCCATGATCGACGACAAGTACCGGCAACTAGATTTTAGTGTCGATCAGGCCAGAAACCAGTGTCCAGGAGCGTTTTATCTAGGCGACGACAGTAAAAGGATGATAAGAGACAGGATTTGTGAACTTGACGTGTGTGTCTTGCGTCAGCGGAAATATCTCCGGATTTACAAGGGGGATTCGCACTCGGTAACGGTGAGTGGCTAGCGGCAGTCATAGCACTAAGGGAAACGGCCGGCGCAAACGTTCTATAGCTGGCTCATCGACCATTCTGGGGTCCTTACTCTTATGCAGTGGGCATTCGAGCCTCACTTGGTTGTTGTCAGCCCTACTACTGTGGCACAAAGTTTGCACATACTCCAAATGGGCCATGGATCCCTAGAGCTGTTGAGTGCGCAGTACCGTTTGTTGGTCCCTTGCTAATTAGTCAGGCAAACGCATATGTGCATTCGAATCGAGTTTCATCTTGTAAGCCCGTGATTGTCACTTTGTATATGTTACAACACGTTCAGTCAGTCGTCTTTCATATCAATCTATTCGAGGCCAACTTTTAACTTTTGCACACGCTACACATGTCCTATTGCCGTTTTAAAAGATAACGCAAACAAGCATCGCGAAGCTGCCAGCATGAAACCATCGCGTCTGGGCTTCCGCCGGCTGCGGAACTCTTGCGATATATGCACACTTTCGAAGCTCAAATGTAGTCGCGAAAAACCAGTCTGTCAACGTTGCGTCGACCGAGGCTGCCAACAAGACTGCAACTACAGCGTAGCACGCCGTCCAGGCAGGCGGCGTCAAACATCTGTGATCTCGGATGAAGTGGGGTCGTACGGTACGGAAAACGCTGTTGGTACAGTGCGAGTGAAGCGGGGAACGGCGCCTCTAACACCCTCTTCAACCCTGGCGGACTCGCTGCTTCCGACAGAGCGTCACGATTCGACTCGGAGCACCCCTCAACAAAACGATACAAGAGATGGAAAGGCACGCACGGTTCTATTATCGCCAGGAATGGCTTCCATAGAGTCATTTACGAACATGTCAATGGAACTGCCACATGATGCCGACACAGTTGACTTTGGATCTATGGATGATCTTTCGCTATGGGAGTGGGGTACAAGTGGAGTCGATCCAGATTGCACAAACGGTCACCACTCAGGTTCTGTGGAGCAGATGTGGGGTCTTCCGTCAAGTCAGGTCATGCTCAATGGTACGAAGTTCGGCGCCGGTGTCATTGCCGGAGAACCAACGCAAGAGCCATCACCACCCATGAGCCAGATAGGCCGACAGACCACATACCAGGACGATCAAATCCTTCTTACACACGTAACCGGCTTTTCCAAGGATCCTATTTCTTCTGATACAACTGCTTCAGACCTCCTCTTCGACCTATCCAAGGATGTGGATTGCCAATGCTCTTCCCAATTGAGTCAGCTCATCTACTTGGTTAGTCTTCGGCTTGCGAAACCCACTACTCTAGACGTTGTCTTTGCTGTGGAGCAACAGTTAAACAGGACAAAGGACACAATCTCTACGTGCGCGCAATGCTCCTTCAACTCGCCGTACGTGAGCATGATGTTTTGTACTTCTATAAGCTGGGTAATTGAGCATCTGCAGACGTACATACGTGAGTCGAATTCAGTGAGCGCGCTCAATAGTCAAGTCACATACCTGACGATTGGTGGTTTGACACTGAGTAAAGAGATGTCACACTCATGTTTTGAGGCACTAGTAAAGCTTCGCCTCAGACGAGTCGTCCAGACAGCACGAGAATTGGCAGTGCTCGACATCCAGACCAAGAGTACGCTTTTGGATGGGATGCGGTCAGCAGCAGTCGATACTGGAGCTGCAGCGCAACAGATGTTTGGGATGTTGGAGATGAGGGGCGCATCTTAGAGGAAGAAAGCTACTTCCCAAGAGACTCTCAACACCAAATCCAGGAGAGCGCAGGTCGCTGTATTCTGGTTCAATATTAACATGAGGTAACAATACACGAAGTTACGATCCTCTTCCCAGTCAACAAAGCGTTGGGTCGTTCGTCTTATCTGTGGAACACTTTCGTATCGCATTGGGGGAATTCTTTTATGGAGAGACTTCAATTGGAATTCAACCACACATAGTGCGGCATATCAAGGAATCACCATCTCACAGGCATCCAATACGATATTTCAAATGACACCGTGATCTAAGCAGAAACGCTACGACCAGCAGATGTGTGTACGTGATGTTTTTATGCAATCCACAACCAGCAACAAACGACCTGATATCTGCCGGGCTCTTGACATTGCATCTGCAATCCTCAAACTCTCATCGGCAGGGAAATTGCAATTGCTATTCAGGCCAACGACCATGCAGAGTATGCTGATGGTTTGTCCGAAACCCGTACGATTTGGTATGTACCGAAATCAATGATCCATATGCCCCGGGACAATTGTCATACTCGTTCGGCTCGGAGCCGAGTAAGCTCCAGAAGCGTATTGGTTCAATTTCAGTTGAGCTTTGTAACATCGAATTGCGATTTTGGTTACCTTTTTTCCCTTTCCCTAGAAGGAGGGCGCCTACCTCGTGCTTATCTCCTGCATGAGCGGTGGGCTCATCCCGAACTATCTTCATTATCACCTGCTATCACTAGCCTACTTCGACTCGCTTCACTTTTCAGTTTGTGTTAGGATATTATCTAACAAACGTCCTTGAATTTTCTTCCTACTCTCCCACCACTACCAACAATCAACTGATCACACCCAAGCGACAGAAATATCAGTGTCCGTAAATGATGGAAGAGCTGTCTCCTGAGGTATGTCGAGTTCGTTATGCCACTACCATCCAGAAAGATAAAACTGATCGACTTTAATATGTCCAGCCTCGCTACAGGCTGGTTGGTGCTCACATAAGAAGACAGTCAATATGGCATATCGCAATAGTTCTTGTCGTTATCTGGGTGGCGCAGAATTACATTCGAACGTGGAAGCGTCTGCGACACATTCCTAGTGCGCATATCACTGCACCATTCTCCTACTACTGGCTAGGTCGTACCACCTACAGCGGTCGTCAATACTGGGTCCTTCGCGATCTCCACGCTAAACATGGCCCGCTTGTGCGCATCGGGCCCAACGAAGTCCTCACTGACGACCCCAACGTCCTGCGCACTGTCTCGTCCACGCGGAGCAATTACGCTCGCAGCGACTGGTATCACGCCGGCCGCTTCAATCCGTATCGTGACAACTTGTTTACGATTATTGACCCAGGAGCGCACAAGAAGGCGAAAGCCAGATCTATGGCGGCGTACAACGGGCGTGATACTGGTGGCCTTGAAGGCATAATCGATGAGCAGGTCAAGATCTTCGTAGACGTTATTCGAAATCGCTACGTGGTAGCTTCGCCAGGAAACGGTCAGCCGCTGCTGGATCTGGTGGCCATCACGTCCTATTTCACCATGGATGTCATCACACGGATGGGGTTTGGCAAAGCAGTTGGCTATCTCGAAGACGAAAAGGATCACTACGACTTCCTTGGAACTGTGGATGAGCTCTGGCCGAGAATTTCGACGGTGGCTGATGTACCTTGGATTCGCAAGTTTTTGTTCTCGCCTTTTGTACTCAAGTTCGTGGGGCCAAAAACCAGTGATACGAAGGGCTTTGGAGCGCTCATGGGGTACGTCACAGCGAGCCTGGACTCTGGATACTCGTCTTGGGTTTTAGTTGAGCGGTTCCGCTGATGTTGTATTAGTTTCGCAGCTGAATGGGTCGGTCGTCGCTTTTCAGCACCTGATGGTGGACACAAGGACTTTCTGGCAAGTTTCCGCCCCAATTTTCCCTTCCATGTACACCTGATCCATGGAAATTGTCGAGCTGACAGTCTTCGTATAGGCCTCACTTATGGCTAAGGGCTTCACAGAGGAAGAGTGCCAATCCGAAGGCCTATTCCTCCTGCTAGCTGGGAGTGAGAGCACCGCCAACGCCATGCGTTCTATCCTGGTACATACCATGAGCTCACCTACGGTATACAATCGCCTCGTCGCCGAGATTCAGAACGCGGTACGCGCGGAGAACGTCTCATACCCTATAACCTTGGATCAGGCACGGAGATTGCCATATCTGCAGGCAATCATCTACGAAGGCCTCCGTATGCGCCCACCCATCCTAGGTCTTTTTCCTAAAATCGTACCCCTGGACGAATCACCCATCTTTCACGAGAAATTGCTACCCCCAGGCACCGCTGTATGCATGAACATGTCATCCATGCTGCAGTCAACGGCTTTGTTCGGCGCCGATGCCGACGTATTCCGTCCAGAGCGCTTCACGGAGGCAGACGAAGAGACACGCAGGCAGATGGAGCTAGACGTTGAGATGGTGTTTGGTTATGGGGGCTGGGTTTGTGCGGGCAAGAATATTGCTATGATGGACATTGCAAAAGTGGTATTCGAGGTATGTTCCTATATGTGTAACAGTCTTGGCGTGATGGTCGCTGAACTTGAACAGATGTTTCGCTTGTTCGACCTACAGCTAGTGAAGCCGTTTGAGCCGTGCGACAACATCGGTTACGGCGTGTTTATGGATAAAGGGTTGAAGGTAAGGGTATCGGCAAAGATGTGAGAAAAGTGGTCATGCTCGTAGTTGGGAGACTTCGAGGGCTGGAAGAAATAACGCAGAAAGATCCGATGGATAGACCGCTCACTAACGAGTCTCTTGCCCGCGGCATTCCCACGTCCCTTAGTGGAGTCAAAATGACCCTTCTTCGTTCAGCCGTTAACCTATCTATCAACAAACTGTCTCATGTTGCATTGATTGTCCCTATCTTGTTCAGTGTATATCCTGGGTCGGTTATGCTCGAAGATAATCCCCGTGGTGTATTTGTACCTGTGTTTCCCACCGCAGTCGGAGTAACACAAGAAATGATTGGATGTTGGATATGTATGTGACAAAGCGGTCATTGTCATCTACTGGATGCCAGGTAACGGACAAAAAGCAACCAAGTTTCTTCCCATATCAGTTAGGAATGAATCACGACACACTTGGAGCACTAGAACAGGTGATTTACTCTAGTTCATGGCGTGTAAGTATCAAAATGTCCCAACGTTGTTTCCTGTATCCGTCCAAGCTACCTATTTCCATTATCTTCACCATCACATGCCCCAAAAACATCTTACAAGATGATTGCAACTCATTACCAGGCTTTTGTGCGCTTCAGTCTTAAGGGTAAACCATCCCGTGGCTTGACAGCCGTAATACCCGCAGGCTGAGGCACATAACTTTTGTCCGCCATCTCAAACTCAAAGCTACCCACAAAGGCGGCGATGAAAGCTCGTAATTCGACCTTGGCATATCCCGCTCCAATGCACTTCCGCGGTCCATGCAGAAAAGTAAGGAAAGCATAATTGGTATGGGCATTACCATGGTTGTTAGCTCGGCCGCTGTCTTCATCAATCCATCGGCCTGGATCGAATGCATCGGCCGTTTCGCCGTAGAAGGATGCAAACCGGTTCATGGCAGCGGGAACGATCCAAAGACGTGTTCCAGCTGGAATGGCAGTGCCGAGAACGGTGGTGTCTTCTGTGGCGACGCGCGAGGTGATGGGCGAGGTGGGCATGAGACGGAGCGTTTCGTTCACGACGGCATTGAGGATGGGGAGAGTGTCGAGGGTAGCGAATTCAGTAAACCTTTCTGCGTCGTTGGCGAAGAAGCGATAGGGGATGTGGCTGCGAAGTTCGGCACGGAGACTGTCTTGCCAGGCTGGATGGGTGGCAAGCAGCCAGAGAGTCCAGGTCAAAGTCGCTGAAGTTGGCTCGTACCTATCTTGCGGTCAGTATGATATCATCATAAATCATCTAAACTTGTGTCATACCCTGCACCGATGATGGTCAAGAGCTGGCCAACAAGTTCGTCATCCGTCAGTGTTCCACTTTGTATGAGCTGCAGTAAGAGCGCCTTTTGGCCACTGTCTTCAGTGACTTCTTTCTTTCTCTCTTCTAAAAAGGTACTGCAAAGCTGTCGCAGCCTGATGCGAGCATCCTCGATATCGCGGTTGAACTTGCGTGGTAAGAGTCTTAATAACCAGGCCGGCAACAAAGCATTGGCAATGAACAGTAGACGCACGCCTTCTTTGCTACCAGTCACGAGCTCATATAAATCGGTAAGCTCATTTGGTTCCCGTAGTGTGTTGAAATCCTTTCCTAATGCCGCCAAACCGATGGCATCGAGGGTACCCTTGTTGCCCCAAGGCAGGACATCCACTACAAAGTCCGTTGAGTCAGGTGAAGCAGCGGACTGTTCCATTGTTTCCACCATGTCAATAGCTTTCGACCAAAAAAGTGGGCAAAGATCTTGGACGTTTCGATGGCCAAAGGCCGGCTGGATACGTTTTCGGAGATATTTATGCTCATCGCCTTCCAAGATGAGAAGCGATGGTCCTAGGATTTGGCTGAGCAATCGTCGAGCTACCGCTGGCTTGGTGAAAGCATATGCGCGACGAACCAGTACCTCAGATAGGGCCTCATTACTGACTAGCAGGATATGACTGACGTTCATGAACCCATAGAAATGAATCAAGCCCTGGTTCGGTATAGAGTTGGCCATGTCCAGATAGGCTTGACCACGGGGATTGGTGAACTGGAGGAATCCATGGCCGAGGAATGGTAGTCCACCCTACGATGACTTAGTCAGTAATGTCTTGGGCACGTTATGGTGATGTCTTACCCTGGCTGTGGGGAGATGTCGAAACGCGTTGAAGAGACGTGGGTGAACTTCGATCTTGTACACTAGGAAAATCACGAGACTTGCGGCCAGCGTGGCGCAGAGCGCTAATAAAGACAATGGGCTCGACATGGAGAAGAAGAGGAGTAGTTCGGCATACACGATAGATACGGATAATGCTAAAGAGAAGTTGACAAAACTCTGATAACATGCATGCAGTGGATGCCTACCGCCCTCATACAGAACGACGTTCGTTGTCTAGAACCAGGGTGCCTAATTCTGAGCTGACTTGAGAAGAGGTCCAGACTCGAACGCTTCGCGAAGTGAGCGGAGCACCATTGTCGGCGGACGGTTGACGGCTGGCGCATCTGGTCGGGTAATACGCGGGTTGTAGGCAATCGACCCGAACGATGTAAGCCAAAGACCCGACGATGGAAGGAAATGACCCGACAAAAGCACGACTGCAGTATTCACTTACCGGAGCAATCATTTCATACCCAGCTGTATCAGCTTCGTACTAGCTTGCTTCAGCACAAGTTGAGATCGGGGTCGCTGGGTGAATAAGCGAAAAAGAAGTCGAAGTCAGACCAGGCAGTACAAACTACCAAGACACCCATCTCTTCCAAATATCAACCGTTCGATTTGTTGATAGCTCAATCGCGCGTCCATTTCCTCTTTTATCTGTGATAAAGCCATACAACCGAAACATGACCAAGATTCAAGAGAAATTGTTCATCAACAATGAGGTAAAGGCAGAGACAGTGCGGAACATAGTGCGATGAGAGCTAATGAAACCGGATATAGTATGTCGGGTCGCATACCAACGAGAAACTGAAGGTGTACAATCCCTACGATGGAAGTCTTGTTTCGAACAACATCGAAGTGGCGCTAGAAGAAGACGTCGACTTGGCTGTGTCGGCGGCGCAAGCAGCGCTCCCAATATGGCAGGCGATGACGGGCGCGCAACGCAGTGCGCTGATGCTTCGGTATGCCGATTTGGTCGAGAAACATACAGAAGAGATAGCCCAACTGGAGTCACAGTGCATGGGATCGCCTATGATGCTGGCACGCAGAGTTGTGGGAAGTCACGTGGCTGTTTTCCGCTACTACGCTGGTTTGACGGACAAGATTGCAGGGACGACGTACACGGAAGACGGCGATGGCTTCTTCAAGATGGTGCTCCAAGAGGCGATTGGTGTATGCGCAGGCATCGGGGCGTGGAATGCGACGCCCATCTTTGCGGGATGGAAGGTGAGAATGCCGTTCACTTGATCACTTCCAGTTACTGGCTGACTGGCGTGCAACAGATCGCACCCGCTGTCGCAGCAGGTAATACCTTTGTATTCAAGGCGTCAGAGAAGTCACCCCTGGGCGCGTTGTACTTGGGACAGCTCTTTCGCGAGGCTGGCTTTCCGCCAGGTGTAGTGAACATGGTCTCGGGCGGGCCAGCGACAGGCGCTCTCCTGGCTTCGCACATGGGTATCGCCAAGATCGCCTATACGGGCTCTGTTAGCGGTGGTCGTGCTGTACAACTTGCAGCTGCAAAGAGCAACCTGAAGCCCGTTACACTTGAGCTGGGAGGTAAGTCGGCCGCAATCGTCTTCGATGACGCCCACTTGGAGAGCGCCATTACGCACTGCTCGCAGACATTTGCCCTCAATGGCGCCCAGGTGTGCTCCGCAGCCTCCCGAGTGCTTGTCCATCGCGACATCGCCGATACCTTCATTGCAGGTGTGAGCACCGCTTTTAAGCAATTGGCTGCAGCCCACGGCCCGCCTACCGAGGCACTCTTCGGCCCGCTGGTCGACCAGCAACACCATCAGAGAGTGCAGGCTTTTGTGGATGCCGCACGCGACGGGGGCGTTGGCGTAGTTGCAGGCGAGGTGCCGACCCATCCCACCGCCCTATTCATGCCGCCAGCGCTCCTGATTGACCCCCCTACCAACAGTCGCGCATACCGCGAGGAGATCTTCGGACCTGTTCTGGCGGTCAAAACCTTTTCCACGGAGCAAGAGGCCATTGCGCTGGCCAACGATTCATCCTACGGACTTGCCGCTGCCGTCTTCACGTCCAGTATGCCGCGTGCTTTACGCGTTACCCGTGCTCTTCAAGTTGGCATGGTGGGAGTTAATAGTCCCGTCATGCCATTGACCCAGCTCCCATGGGGCGGATGCAAGGAGAGTGGTTACGGCCGCGAGGGAGGTTTGGCTGGTCTAGAAGAGTACTTGCAATCTAAGACGGTCCTGATCAGTATGAAGGACCCGCAGGCCAGCCCGGCCAAATAGATAGTCCGCAGCAGCGATGCTGTACACCCCGTAGCGCATAATACATCGCATTGGCACGCATGGCCGCCTCTATCCACATGAGCATAAAGGTTGTAGACCAGGAATACACCTTCTACTGTGTTTACAGGATGATATCACAAACACGCTGTCGCGCGTACAAAGACAAGTTCTACGACCAGACTTTGGTGTGCCTCGGAAGTTCCGCACGGAACCGGAACTTTCCGACGCATTTACGTGGGATTTGTTTGCGGAACTGCTTCCTTAGCACTGCAATCGCTTTGTATCGCTACACCCATTTATCGTTTGAACTCTATGAGCCCTGTACAGCTTCCTTTGAATTGAATCTTCAGAATGAAACGTTATTTGCCGATCCCTTTGCGAACAATATCATCGCCAATATTGTAGCACAATCAATACTACGGAACAGCCGGAAATGAGGAGCTACGAATCGCGTATATAGCGGACACAAGATGGCAAGAGCCCATTCCATCGCAAGGATGCTTCCGCAGCACTAACCTCTACATGATCCACGATCAAAGCCCGATTCACCCTGCTTTGCGCTCATCTGGGAAAATGATAAGCATCCTTTAGCCGACATCATGGATCCAAGAGCAGCACCTCCTTGAGTTCGCGACTGGTGTAGAACCCTATACCATCTCCCGTTCTTTGAACCGAATATACAATTCCGGTCGGTTGAGTGTCTGATACGATCTGAGAAGCTCGGTGGAGGGACTCAGACTCCACAACTGATTCTTTGTGCCCTTGACGCCCTCCGTCTCCAGCTCAAAGTCAAAAGCCCAGAGTAGATGCGCCACTATCAAACGAATCTCATAGTATGACAAGCTTTGGCCCATGCACTGTTTTGGTCCAGCTCCAAACGGTGTCGACGCGGACAACCTGTCATTCTCAAAAGCTGGGTCCCATCCCTGTTCGGGGTGGTTGCGCAACCATCGCTCGGGGTGGAATTCGTTTGGCAGATGGAAGTTGCTTTCAGACCGCACTGCTGCCCATGGAGCTACGGAGACTAGCGAACCCCCCGGAAGTATATGCGGACCGATTTGTGCACCCTTTGCTGGGACTGCACGAGGAAGATTTGAACTGACTGGTGGGAAGATGCGCAGCGCTTCTTTGATACACGCGTCGAGGTAGACCAATTCTTCCAACTTTTGCAGCGTGATGTCACTTGGATCCGCGAAGGTCGTGCGAATCATGGTAGCGAGACGTTTGTGAATCTCGCGATGGACGCAGAGATTGTACATGAAAGTAACGAGAAGAGTGGAAATGGTTTCGGAGCCCGCGGTGACAAGAAGTGTCATGTTGAGGAGGAGCTCTGTAGGTGCAAGAGTCTTTCGTGCGTCTTTGTTGCGCTGTATATGATAGATAACGTCCTTGTGAGAAGAGGTTTCGTCAGCAAGACCTTGGAAAATATTAGCTGACCTTGCCTTCACGGAAATCCTGTCATGACTTACGGTCGAAGGTTTTCTTCTTCGTGTTCATAAAGGTTATCATCCTCCATTTCATCGCTTCCTTTGGCATGAGCTTTTGCGCCATCTGGTTGAGCCATGTACCGACTCCTGTGACTCTCCGAACGGCCATGTCCAGAGTTGAGGAGATGAGAACATTCGTAGTTGCCAGCGCCCATTCTGTTGCAACGCCCTCATCCAAGCAATGGAAAGACTCGCCAAAGCATAGGTCACCGATGATGTCGAATGTCGTAAAGGATACTGCATTCGATTAGATTATGTCACCATGCTCAGTGGGAAGAGAGCAGGAAGAGAGTCGTACACCAATCGCTCATGTTCAGAGCTTTACCATTCTTCCCTTGTGTCTTGACGGCGTGGATTAATTTGGCGGTCTGAACCTCCAATATTTCCTGTTGCGCCATGAGAGCGGGCTTCGTAAAGCCGACGGCCATTGCGCGTCGCTGTCTGGTATGCTCAGATCCTTTAGCGAGGCCAATGCCAACACAGCCATCGATTGGCTTTACAACACCGATAAAGAGAGGTGCTTTCTCCATCACGTCGCCATGCTAAACAGAATGATCAGCCGACATTACGACCAGTTCGTAGATAGTCCTGAATGAGCATACACGATTACCGTAGATCTGTTCCCAAGCATACGACTCGGTGAAGCTCAGTTCATCGGGAGATATCCGAACTACTGGTCCGTATCTCTGATGCAGTTTGTAGTTGTACAGGTGTTGGACGCCGCGGAAAGCTGCAATTGCGCTTGGGATACTCGATACGCTGTTAAACCAAGGTCCTGGGTACTTGCTTAGGCTATGCAACCACCGGCGATGCACAGCTTGTCCTAGGATGGGTATGAAGATCTTGAGGCAAAATTCAGTATTTGTTTCGTATCTTAGAAACTGTCTAGCTCACCACCAGCAGAATACTCCATCCCGCAAAAGGGATATGGGAGAAGGTGCGTTCCATCTTTGTCGTTAATGCTACCAATACGTTCTGTCCAGAGATGCTCAAATGCACGGAATTGCCTGGAAATGCGCCAAAGAGCGTCAGCGGCAGATATACCACCTATATTGTGCTTTTGCTGACAAGATGCTGATAGCTTATCACGCTACGATGAATTGAACCGCGCCATGCCGGAGGAAACGAACTCAATGTTCAATACTGCATGGCAGCCTTGAAGATCTGGAAAATACCCCGCTGCTACGATTCGGGAGAGACATTGGTTTCGGGTCAATTCTTAGCTGCTCTAATCCCGGATAGAACGTAGACCATTGGTGAATGGCCGATGAAACGCTAGGGGACGAATTGGGTTATGGATCGAAACGACCATGTGCTACCAAGGTATCAGCATTGGCAACATGTACTCTGATATAAAGGCGGCGCGCCACGACATTACTATGATCACTCTCCATAACAGCCAAGATTATCTCGGATTATCCGAATTCTCTAGAGAGAAGTTTCTTTGACACCACCATGTCTACCTTTTTGACCAAAGTTTGGGCAAACGCCATAGGCTTCGGGATCGTTTGGACAGGGGTCGTGCTCTTCAGTGTACGTCCAGTATCATTCAACATTGAGAAAGGCTCTAATCAGAAAAACAGCGTCTCCGCTCTCAAGAGATCCAGAATTTCTTTCCCAAGCATGATCAGAAATGCGCTCCACAATCTGATGAATCAGTGAAGAACAAGGCCGTCGTCGTTCATGAGCGCTGGTACTACCCGCCCGACATCGCAAATGACTTGAAGGATATAGATCTTCCAGACCGGGTCAAACAGGAGATCTTTGCCACGGCTTGGGAATATACTCGTTGTGTCATTCCTGAATACACGAATTGGTCACGATATGTTGCGTTTATGCGCATCATCGTCATGGGAATCATCGCAGAATTTAAGGGTAGCCTTATGGACGTGGCCAACGACGATAATGTCGTGGGCTACAGTCTTACCGAGGTGTTAGATACATTGTGTGGAGGAACAGCAGGCCAGTATGTCACCGCTGTCAGGCAAATCCGATCTTTGAAGTCTCCTCACTAATACGCCCCTTCCAGTGCTGAGATGTGCCGCGAATACCGCTGCTTTTTGTTGATGTCGTCGCAAAAATCACGTCATCAGACAAACACCATGCTGTTTCGCCGTTACAGTGTTGCTCTTTCCAAGAGTCCCTGGCAATTCTTCCGCATGCGCGATACCGACGCGCTCGCTCGCTTCACCATTGGTGTTGCTCTGGTCTGCAATGACCTCGACCACATTTGGTTCACCAACGACCAATTCGACATCATGGCCGAAATCGGCAATACAATGTACGACGGTATATCATACTGGAAGCACCGTTCCGAGGGAGAAATCAACAGCACCTTCGCATATGTCCCAGAAACCAAGCGGGTAATGGCCTATCACAAGTGCCGCGAGGCGCTTTGGGCACTGGACGTAGCGTGGGCAAGACAGCCCGAGATGAAGTGTGTCATCAACTTCCTCCGCTACTTTGGCGGCCCAATTCACATGATTATGCGACGGTACCGCTTTGTGGAAGAGGGCCTTACCCTAGGCAGACCTGAGGACAAGCGCGTCATCGAGCAAACGAGGAAGCACGTCAAATTATGGAATAGGCTTGACGAGCAGAAGAAGACCAAGAAGCAGGAAACCGAGAGTCTCCAACAGTATCGCCACGTCCTCTCACGGGAGAAGATCCTGCTGTTTAACGGCCTCGGGGAAATGTTGGAAAAGGCTGACGAGGGCTTATGCTCCGAGTGCAGCTATCGAGAGACATACGGCGCGCCACAGGCTCATACTTTCGGAGGTGTTGTCCTATGTGCCGCACATAAGCAGGGCTGGGCGGACCATACGGAAAGTATACTTGAGCGCATGGTCAGAAGCTTTCCGGAGGCTGCCGAGACTGTTCGTATAAGTGAGATGCGAGCGACACGTTCAGCCGCGCCATAATTCATACTGGAAGCACCTCAAGAGAAGGAAAAATGATCGGATTCGAATACATGGGCGAGTGCTGGTGTTGCCAAGATTGTACTCAAGAATACGCGGAGTTGTGGGAGGATTGGAGTGCGGCAGTGGAAATGGAAGGGTCAAGCGAGACTGATATGTCATGGTACGCGGCTGTCTTCAGCATGTAACTTAGAAGGAATGGAATACTCTAGTTTCATTGTACGAAGGGGATCTTCAGTGAGCAATGTGTTGCTGATGCTAGCTGGAGAGCTCGTCTCCTCTTGTTTATGCCGAGCGATTCTAGCGCGATCATGCTTTGTTCAATACTACGGTCAGCTTTTCATCGTTCCCAACTCCGTACATGAATTTGATTGTGCCTTACCAGTAGTTTGTTCCATGGAGATTATCGAACTACTTTCGCATTTAACTTTGGCGCACGTTCATGCGACACGTCAGAGCTAAAAGGCGTTAACAAGTTCCCTAGAGGAACCAGCAGTCTCATCGGGTTTGACGCGCGGGTACACAGGCAATTACATTGCTTTCATTTATTAGCAAATAAATGACGGGATATTCCGGTACTGAAGAAGGGGCTACACGTAAAAGGATCAGCGGTGGTATTCTTGCCGTAGCACAGGAGCCTGGTGAAGTTGGGTGAAGAGCAAGGTTTCTCCTACTTAGCTTCTTTCGGTTAGCGAGCAATGTGGCATCCCGAGGACTCCTTCGATAGTCGCATGGGCAGCAGCGTTCGCGAGAGATATACTCTGTATGATGCGACGCGTATAAAGGCTGTGCACAACTTACTCACTCAAGTAACAGCGAGAGATCGCTTTCCCAGAAGCGCTGCGCCCCATCGCTTCCTCAAGCCTTTCAACTGCATTGCCTCACCTCCCCACAAGAAGTCATCATATTGGAGCGTATCCTTAGTGCAATCGCTCCAGCGTACTTTGAATACTCTGATATGAATTCCATTTAATAGTTGACATCATTGATCAGTGAATTACAAAGCTTCGGAGTCAAAAAATGAGCTTGAAGAACGAGCATGACATTGATATAGCTGAACAGGTAAGAATGTCGCATGGAAAATGCTTCTCTTCTTCAAACATCTTGGTATACTTCGCAGCCCGTCAACGCCGGTTCAGACGCAAATGCTTCAAAGACATCCTCGGTTACATTGAAGAACAAATTAAGTCCGTTCTTGTACCATGCGTTGCCAACAGCCTGGTCATTAGGCAACGCCTCAGTAAAAACGAACAGGTTGGGTATGGATGAAGATGGCACATAGAAGGATGGGCTGAGGGGTCCTAGATGGAACTTGTCATATCCCAAGTGAGCGACGGAGCTGAACTCTACATGTTCGTCGCCTCCCTTTGGCTTGAAACTACTCGAAGGACTGTCGCTGAACGTAGCGTCATAGGTGATTGCATGCATCGCATTATCGTCGTACTTGCTGAGGGCCTTCGTGACCCTAGTAGCGAGTTTGATTGGATCGGTAGCATTGGCAGGGTTGCTCTGGGCGTCAGGGGAAATCATGACCACGACGAACGGCGAGCCCAGTAGCCCGTCACGTACTCCTAGAAGCCAACGGAAGCTACTCGCCAGGTGTAGATCGATTGGTGGCCGTTGTGCATGACCACGAGCTCGGTTGAGACATGCCCAGAAGAACCCGATTAGCGCTGCCTGGTCGGTCAAGCGCATCGGACTTTTCGACTGCAGGTCTCCGAGTCTATGCTCGACTTCCGTGGCTGGCATATGTAACACATAGTTGTACATGGTTTCGGCTCCCTGGATAGGGCCATTCGGTTGAAGGGCACGGCGATACGGGCCTCGTGTGGGAAGCGCTTGAGCTCTCTTAAGTAGTGTCGAGCCTTGCTCTTTTAGATCAATACCAGTAAGCTGGCTGCTGAAAACTTCCGGTTGCCATGATGGGGGGTTTGGGCCTATCGCGTCTTCGCCATGGAACATTTGTCCATAGAGAATCGACCAGTGCTCCAGTAATCTCCCCGCCGTATAACCATCAGCTAAGCCATGTTCAAAATCGATCCCGAGACTGAAACCACCACAGGAGAACGCTGTGATCTGGATTCGAATGCCCGGGGGACGAGAGCAGGGCGCAGGAAATAGCGTGCGAAGAGACGAGGGCGAGTAATCCCATAAGAATGTAGACTCATTCAAAATGGTAGGTGGAAGCAGGCTGCTGATGCGCGACTTGGTATGCGCCTCAGTAAGTTCTACTGCCTTATCGCTAGGGCTTCCCCATTTGACAATGGTCCGCTGAAGTTCTTTTCCATCCACATCTGGGCTTGTAATTGTTTCCAAAGTCCCAACGAAGCGCGGGAAGATATCAAGTGTTTGAGAAAGACTTTCAGTAAGGCGTTTGATAAGGTCTTGCGGTTTCGTGGATTTTTCAAAGAGATATATGGTAGGTACAGTGCGACGGTAGGCATACCATGCGTCCAAGATAGGCAAGTTGGCAGACTGTGGTGATGTGTTCTGATGGCTCCGAGGCCAGATTTCGTGTACCTTGACGATGTCGACTTTCATGCTGCGTGGAATGAAGTTGCGTAAAACAATGCAGTCAGCCAATGATAAGAAATGTGAGCAAATGTCCCAAGAATAGTCGAAAGGTACCAAGAACATGTGAATGATGGATGTTGGCCCTAGCGCGAAAGGACTAGTCGCTATTCTCCCGTATGTCCCGATGGCGGTCGGGTCTGCCTCTCGCATCGATTGCCATATAGCCCGATTATCCCATGAAAGACCATCAATCTAGTCAATTAAACGTTATTTTAGATTGCAGCTCGTGCTCAGACGACGCGACATGCTAGGAATTTTGTGCATACTTACAATCACCCCGAGTTTCCGCCGGATCACGTGAGTTCGTCATGTACAAACAACAATAACTCGTCATCATGGAATCCGAGATCTTAATCTTTTGGCCGTGATCCCGGATGTTGCAGCAATATTTCTCGAGGCGAATTTGGTAGGTTAGCAATGATTAAGCCGGCGGCGTACATACCTATCTAATCTTTCCGCGCCAGATAGCTTCTAAGAAGATTAGCAATTCATGCATAAGCCTACCTTTTGACCATCTCTCCAACTTCTCTGAAGCCGATAACGAAAATATCCATCACACCATTACAATGCTGTACCAATCAACCAACGGCACTAATGGCATCAATGGTTTCCATGACAGGAACGGCGACAACAACGTTCATGGCACCAATGGTCACCGTTCTGGTGACGTTCAATCCACGAACTCAGATGATATGTCAAACTCGATCGCGATAGTCGGTATCAGCTGCAAATTTGGAGGCGCGGCATCCAATCTTGATGGCCTATGGCACACTCTAGCCAACGGCGAAAGTTGCTGGTCGCCGATTCCCAAGAGCCGCTTCGACGTCTCTAACACATACCACCCGGACCCATTACGGACTGACAGTGTAAGTACCAATCAGAACTCTTTGGATCATAGCTATAGGCTAATCAACTGTTACTTATAGCTCCATGTGAAAGGCGGCTTCTTTATTGACGAAGATCTGACTAAGTTCGATGCGCCTTTCTTCAATCTTACAGCGGACGCGGCCAAGGCCATGGACCCCCAGCTGAGGCTACTTTTGGAAGGTGTATACCAGGCGACCGAAGATGGTAAGCTAGCCATCATTTTCTTGATATGCTGTCTGGCTGGAGCTAATGCAATCATAGCGGGTATACCCACCGAGAAGCTCTCCGGCTCAAACACTTCTGTCTTCTCAGCAAGTTTCGGCAGAGACTATACAGAAATGTTGATGAAAGATGCGGAAGCACTCCCTACGTCTCTAGTCACTGGAAATGGCCCAGCGATGTTCGCAAACAGAGTTTCGCATTTCTACAATCTCAGAGGACCTAGTGTGACTGTGGATACGGGATGTTCGGGTGGTCTAGTAGCCCTGCACATGGGTGTCAACAGCATTCGAAATCGAGAATCGGATGTTTCCATCGTTGGAGCTTCGAACGCGATATTGAATCAGGACTTCTTCATCGCCATCTCGAACCTCGGGTTACTACATGAAGATGGACAATGCTATTCCATGGATCATCGCTGGGGTGGCTACGGCAGGGGCGAGGGAATGGCGGTATTGGTCTTGAAGAAGTTCTCCGCGGCGGTGAAGGACGGCGATCACATTCACGCTGTGATACGCGAATCAGCTGTCAACCAGGACGGCAGAACCGGAACGATAACCTCTCCATCCATGGACGCACAGCGATCGTTGATTCAACAATGTTACAGCCGGGCAGGAATCGATCTCGCATCCACAGGCTACGTGGAGGCTCACCTAACAGGAACCGGAGGCGATGCGATCGAAGCCGAAGCCCTGGCGAGAACTTTTGGAAAGTCGAGAGAGGCTTGCGATCCCGTCTGGGTCGGCTCTGTCAAGAGCAACATTGGACATACCGAACCGGTCAGCGGACTAGCAGCGGTCATTAAAGCAGCTCTCATACTACGCCACAAGCAGATCCCTGCTAATGTTACGTTCGAGAAAGCCAACCCGAATATTCCGCTGCAGGATTGGAAATTACGGGTTCCGACGTCTCTGACCCCGTGGCCTCGAGATAAGCCATTGAGGATATCCGTCAACAATTTTGGTTACGGCGGCACGAATGCACACCTTATCCTCGACGCGCCCCCGGGTCCTGACATACCACACAAACACGCATCCTCAAATGGCAATGGCGAAAGCGTCAACGGCAATGCGGGCAACGGAGTCGATCATCGTCCTCACAGATCCACTGAGGCACCATCTCTGGTCTATATATTGAGCACCAGAGATGAAGCCGGTACAGTCAAGAGAAGTAAAGACTTGGCAAAGTACATGCGCAACGCCCTCCACTCTGGAGAGGCTCCATCACCTGATGATCTGGCGTACACGCTGTCTGAGCGCAGATCGAGGTTGCCATGGATAATCGCTGTCAAGGCTCGCAGCCTGGAGCAGCTAGCAGAGATTTTGGAAGACCCGCGCCGGCAGCCAATCCGGGCATCGTCTTCACCGGTCCGAATAGGCTATGTCTTCAATGGCCAAGGAGCTCAATGGTACGCTATGGGTCGCGAACTCATGAGCACATCAGAGGTGTTCAGTTCATCGATCGATCAAGCAGAGACACACTTGCGAGCCTTTGGTGCACTTTGGTCACTGAGAGAAGAGTTATTGCGAGATGCGAGAAGTACCAAGGTTCACGAGGTCGAGCTCAGTCAACCGCTCAGTGTCGTTGTTCAGCTGTGCTTGGTAGACTTGCTGCGGTCTTGGAACATAACCCCATCTGCTGTGGTCAGTCACTCGAGTGGCGAGATAGCGGCAGCCTATGCAGCAGGCGTGCTTTCATTCCAAGAAGCTGTTGGAGTCGTATATCACCGAGGGCGACTTGCCAAGAAGTACCAGAAACTTGCAGCACTCTCTGGCGGCATGATGGCTGTTGGTCTCGGTGTTGAAGAAGTACAGGAGTACCTTAGCGACGTCTCATCCAAGGGTCGAGTGGTAGTTGCTTGCATCAACAGCCCGTCTAGCGTTACGATCTCTGGTGACTTGGACGCCTTGGAAGAAGTAGCAACTCGTTTGGAGGCAGACGATGTTTTCGCGCGAAAGCTGAAGGTGCCATTGGCCTACCACTCACATCATATGGAGTTTATGGCTGAGGAGTATCAAAGTTGCCTGGAAGAGGTTCTCGGACCCATTCAAGAAGGCAGGCTGGATGTCACTTTTGCATCCCCGGTCACGGGCGGCATTATCACTTCGCGTTCAGCATTCTCCGCCGCACACTGGGTACGCAACCTGACCAGTCCTGTTCTGTTCTCTAGCGCATTGGAGTCCATGGTCTTTGGGTCGGCCGAAGTTCACAGCGAACCGCGGACGTTGCCAGCGTCAAGTCGCCAGGTTTCCGTCTTCCTAGAAATTGGTGCGCACGATACCTTGTCCGGCCCAGTCAGACAAACACTGCGCGAGACACGGATTCCATATCTTTCTTGTCTGAAAAGGCCTCTGAACGCGGTCGACACGATGCAAGACGTTGCTTGTGCGTTAGTGGCGCGAGGCTACCCAGTACATCTCGTGGCAGTGAACAAGCGGCGGTCAACCCTCTCACACCAACCAAAGTACGTCTCCAACCTTCCAGAGTACCCATGGAACCATCAAACCGCCTATAAACTTGAGCCTCGGGCTTCCGAAGAGCACAGACTCAAACGCTTCAAGCCTCACGAGTTACTTGGTAGGCTCATTCCCGGTACAAACCCCATCAGTCCAACCTGGCGCAACTTTCTTCGCACAACTGACATTCCTTGGTTGGTCGATCATCAGCTGGAGTCGAGTGTGGTTCTGCCAGGCGCAGGATATGTGTCAATGGCTATTGAAGCGATGCGTCTGTTCAAAGGGAACCATAGCCAAGATGCAGCTGGGTTGCAGTACCACCTGCGAGACGTAGACATTGTCAATGCTCTTATGATCCCGCACACGTCAAGCTCGTCGAGCAGAGGAATAGAGATCCATTTCTCACTTCGCCCCTGCAGCGACAAGGACTTGGACAGCACAGATTGGTACGAATTTGAGTTGTGGTCGGTCAGCGCCAAACATTCCTGGATACAGCACTGCAAGGGCGGCATTTCGGCCAAAGCGGCCAATAGCTCACGTCTATTGGAAACATCCAAAATCATGTCTGGCCTTGAACCTTCCCGGTTGGAGCACACCAAGAATATAGAGCCCGAGACTCTGTATCAGCGTTTGCGAGACTCAGGCTTCCAACACGGTCCAACGTTCCAGAACATCATCAGCAGTCGCGTTGCTGGTGAAAGGTCGGAAACAGAATTCTCTGTTGCTCCAGCGGCCTTTGAACGCGAACAGCAATACGTGATACACCCAACGACACTGGACTCAATTTTCCAGTGCTGCTATGCGACTCTGCCTGTAGATCTTACAAAAGACGCGATGTTTATTCCTCGATCGATACGAAGGGTTACCGTACCTTCGCAGCTCGGTACACATGCAAGCCAAAGGCTGTTCGCAAACTTGAACTGTCTATCATCAAGTCCCAAAGGGTCACTTTTCGAAGGTCTCGTATACGCCGCAGGAGACGATGAATCTGTCGTTGCTGGCGAACCCCAGACAGCCACGTTCGAGATCGAGCAATTCCGTCTCCAACGAGTCACCCAAGCGGCAACGACTGCCCAAGATGCAAAGGCATCGCACCCACCGATTCATTCAAAGAGCCGATGGGAACTTGATATCAATTACACGGTCCCAGATGGTATTAGAGAGTCAATGAAGATCTTCTTGACCCAGCCTGAGCTAGCATTCGCCAGAAACGTCCGCGAAGTCGCTTACCACCATATCGCTAGAGCTCTAGAGCAGCTGGGAGCAAAGGCGGACGATAAGTGGACTTGGTATCACAAGAGATTCTTCGAATGGATGGGTGCAGTCATCCAGGTAGCCGATAATGGTACTCTGATGTCTGGAAGCGACTCGTGGTCCAGGAGAAGCGAGACTTTCATCCAAAGCCTTTGCCTTGAGGTGGCGTCA